AAGAAGGTACAAGCTATAAAATTGTAACATTTTTTTAGTGTGTTGCATTTGCAAAGATAAAAAAAATGAAGACGTTTGTTAAAGTTCAATAACTTAAAAAAATTAAATGGAACACCCTATTTATTCTTTTTGCATTTAAAAGACTATTAAATTGTCTTTCTAAAATTATTTACTTTTTGGTGTTTATAATCAATAACTAAAAAGATATTTAACGTTAAACATTAAAAAAAAATAATTACTATTGTTTCAGTAGCCAAAAAGTGCACAGTTGCACAAGAGATGGAAGAAATATCACTTCATAATCACATTTGTGTTAAACTGAATCCATTATTCTTTATTTTTACAATAAAATAATTCGAATTTCAGTATTTATAACGACTTTTACAATCTCTGGATAAATAAATAACTTAAAAAATTTAAATTGTTGCTACAATTAATATTGAATGTTAAATATCTTTTCATTTATCAATTCTAGACATTAAAAGCTTATTTTTTTAGATAGACAATTTATRAATCTATTAGATGCAACAATAAAAAATAGAGTGTTCCATTTAAATTTTTTTTAAGTTATTTAACTTTTAACAAACTTCTTAATTTCTTAATCTTTACAAATGCAAAACAGTAAAAAATTGCTATAGCTTTAAGTTTTGTACTTTCTTCTTTGCAGAAGGAAGAAAAAATTTGTTCTAGCTGTCTTAATTTTTGTATAATGAATTTTTAAAAAGTGCATGTTTTTGTCAAAAAATCTTATTTCTAAAACTAAGCGAAATTTAAAAAGCTACATCCAAAAATGCTAAAAAACATAGTGTTTCATTTAAAAAAACACAAGTTTGTAATGTAACTTATTTTTGAGACACGCTATAGATTTGAAAATAATTTTAGGCAATGAACTAGATTAGTATCTATCAATGTCCTACACATTTTTTTTAATTAGGTCGCTGGGACACCCTGTACACACTTGACAAACAAGTCAAAGTTGTTTTCCTAAAAAATTATTTTTTTATGTTTAATGTTGAATGTTGAAGAGAAAGATCAAAAACCTAGGTTTTGTGTTTATTAGTTTAAAAATTCAAATACTTCCTGTAATGTTTCTTGGAACTTATTACACGTTGCATTAGGTAAAACCAACAATTTCTAATAAACACCTCACCTATTTATTTAAAAGATATCGAGATAATAAAAATAGTTGATAAGACTGGAATACCTGATTCGTATATAAAAAAGTTAATACAGTATTGTCTTGAACTTAATTGCAGGTGGTACTAAGTGGAAAACTTACAACAATGATTTTTGCTTGATTAGTAATACGTTTTGTAACCACAACAAATAAATAGTTGCTTAAATTTCCTGCTAATTTTTCCACAGTGGCACATTTCCTGGCTATAATGATATTAGAATGTATTTGTCAGCTCTGCAATACTCCATTCTAAAATCGCTGAAGTTAGCATTGGCAAAGGTAAATTTAATCAGCACAATAGTGTTTCCAGTTATTCCGACAAGTCAAAGAACCGTAATTTCCTGTTTTGTGTCACTTTGACGACAATTTTTACGAGACGAGTAGGTGGTCATTGCGAGTTATGTCTCTTGTTAAATAATAAAAAACCAAAGGTATTAAAAAATAATTTATTACTCCTACATATTGATAAAAATCACGATTCTCGATTAGGTACTCATGAGTCCGAAAATTTGCACATCTGTAATGTTTTGTTTTGATCCGATATGTGTTTTTTAGTACTCTAGTACTCCCAGCTACACCTGTATGTACTCTACTCGACTTCAAGGATAGTGTACCTGAACTTAAATTATTTCTCATAAATCATTAAAATTAAATTAAAAAGTTTACCGACGCACTTACAGACTCTAGAGATTGGCTCATACTCCTGATAAGGCATTTTTTGGCCAATGGCGATGCTAAAGGGAGCCAATTTTCAAGATGCACTTAAGACTTGGGCTTAAATCGTTTCCTTATCTTCAATGCCGCAAATTAAACACCTGCGTCAATTGTATTGAAATAAAATATATAACAAACGTTTATAGCACAGCTGCAATTTACACAATATTTTGGTAAATATTATCACCTGTCATCAGCAAAAAATTTATGAATTATGAGCGATTCTAAGACAAATACTATATCAAAGAACATTTATCTTCTTTGACGTTATTTCTTTCCATGTAATTTATATTGATAAAAATCATTTCACGTCCTTCTAGAGCGATCATATGGTATTTTTTTTCCAAAAATATAGTTTACATTCTTCTCAGCAAGGTAAAAACAATCATCTAAGAATAGAAACACTTTATAATTTTTATATTTATTATTTTTGTAACTAACGACTTCTACATGTAATACCATAAAAGCGTTTGTCACAACACACATTTGGATGTATAAAGTTAAATTTGGCTTCATTCACTAGTGAATAAAGTAAATCAAAACCCCTCACTACAAAATTCCATCAGTGTCATTACTGGTGTTTAATATTTTGTATTTTTTGTGAGATATTTCTCAGAAAATTCAATCTGCGTGTCTTTATGATTGTCAATATTTACAACAAACAATAAAAACGCGATTACAGAATATAAATATTTCATCTGTCATCTTTTTCGATTTTTTCCTAAACTAAAAGAATGCAAGATTCTAAATTAGATAATGGAAAAAATGATGAATGCTACTCATTTCTAAAAAAACTGAAGCTTAATAGTTTGGGCTTATAAAATTGTGAAGTGAAAAACATTACCTGGAGCCTGTTTCATAATATCATTAATATTATTACAAAAAATATACAAATGTACAAGCTACAAGTTACAGGCACTAATAATTTCTGTTTCATAAAATAAAAAGTGATTTTAGTTGTATTAGTAGAATTTTTTTGCTAGTGCAAAAATTACAAGTCCTAAAAAATTGGACGGCTATAAATGAGCAACTTTCAGTCAGATTTTGTTGTATTGTCAATCAACGTTTCGACTTTTGCTTTGAAGATGGATAAAAGGGATGAAAACAGGAAAACAAAATTGTGGATTTTAAGCAAAATATACGAAAATAAAGATATTTTAGCTCACAAAACAAGAAAAAATTAAAAAGTGGCAGGAGATTTTGCTCTATGAGAAATCGATTACTTCTGTATTTGAATTAATTTTGAATGAAGAGGAAGAACCAATTTCGCTTTCTAATAATAGAGATTAATTTTAAAATATTCGAAAACATCAATTAATTTATTTTCGATTAACATTAGATGTAATTATCCCATGACAGCCAAAAAAGCTTTAAAAATATTATTACAATTTTCTACATCTTATTTGTGTGAATTCAGATTTTCTGTGTTAACCAACATAAAAACGAAAAAAAGATCGAGACTGAATTGTAGAAGACGATATGAGAGTAGCATTGTCATTTTTACGACCAAATATAAATGAAATTATCAAAAAACAGCAAGCTCAAATTTCACATTAAAAGTATTCTTATATTTAACCTGTAATTAATCTCTTAATAAACGTACTGTTTTTGTAGTACATATTATTTTATTTTACATTCAAGATTATTATAATAAACTATTTTACACAGTGTATTATAGGGAAATAAACAACTTTTGTTGAGAATCACTGCTTTACATAACAAAATTGTCTTTAAAAAAATTAGTACTTTCAACTACAGGCATGTAGCGACTTGTACAATAGTACTTATAAAATTTAAGTAAATCTCTGTCATTAATATTATTTCCTAAAAATTATGGAACAGAAATGCTTGTAATATGTTAAAATCTATTTTTATTTTCAATTTTACAAGTTGTAATTTGTATTTTCTTTTTATGAAACCAAATTCTAAAAGTTACATGCCACAAGCCTAATAATATTTACATTGACTGACCCTGACCTGAAATTTTACTAAAAATTGTGTTCAAAACAAAAATGTATTTGTAAATTGCAAAAAAAACTATCAAAAACAGATTTTTTAACTATTATTTTCGCACACAATAGTTTTTGTACAGGCTGCCGTTGAATTGAAATTGTTGAGTTTCTTATCATTCTTATCAAATTTCTCTCTTTTGATAACGTTTGTTTTATACACATAAAAAGTACAAAAAGAACAATATTGTTCAGTTGGTAAACACAATATATAAACAAATTACATAAAAAACAAGAAACTTTAAATTTATATTCCTATACACAGAGTGATTCAGGTAAGAATGAGAAATACTATAACATTAAGCGGCAACCTTGAACTCACAATACAAATAAATAAACGTTTTTTAGCCTAAAATTTCAACCTTCGTATTTTCTTTGGTATTTTATTTACTTTTTTTTTACAAACTAGTAAACTAAAGCAAAAAAAGTGTCATTTTGATGAAACTGGAACACTAAAATCACTATAAAAAACTGCAAACACGTATGTTAAAATGTAAAAGATTCGTTTTGTAAAAATTTCAAAACTTACTTTTGAAATAAATCAGTATGTATAAATTGATGTCGAGAAATTATGTTTTCTGAGTTGTAGTTATAAAATGTTTAAGTTTCTAATTCTCATGTCCAAAAATGGAATACCAAAAATTGTATCTTTTGTATTACTTTCTGATTTTTTAAGTGTACCTGAATCACTCTGTATGTTATTATTATTGTGCATACAATGCGAGTTTTCCATGAAATACAAAGCGTGCAAAAATTTAAAACGTTTACTTTCCACACAATGCCTAACCCAAACCGCTTTGTCTCGACCACATTTTGTGTCAAAATTGATTGCTTTTAAAACACTTTTCTGGTATTTTTTTATTTTTGGTAACCCCAAAATTTTGTTAACAAACCCTCATCGGGGTTGTATCAGACAGTTTTCCAGTGTTAATTGAGCGTACGCACCCACCCCTAATGTTTTTTCCCACATTTTGCTCCTAATCGGTCACCCTTTCGAACACCACCTGTTACATTTATTAATTTAAAAAATCGATAACTGATTCCAAATAACATCTGTTAAGTTTTAGCAACTTTTTGTCGGGTTTTAAATGAAAGCTGAATTCCTTCTAAAATCATTTTATTTGAAATATCTTCATATAATAAAAATTCAAACAACATTCAGTTGCTATATAGGTAACTATTTACAATAAGTTCTAGAACAAAAATGTACACAGTCAAAACCACAATCAAAATTGTGATCCCAACAATTCCCACGTGGAGATTACACTTTGTACACTATTACTTACTAAAAATCACAGAATGAAAAGTCACAAAATCAATCAATTAAAAAATCTGTGATAAAGCTAGAAGATCAAAATTTCACGAATGAAACTACCAAATAAAAAAATGGAAAAGTACAATAAACTCGCCTAACATATGTACAAAACAATAAAATAAAATCTAACAATTGCAACATAAACAGGTACATCACTAAGTGCTTCACATATTTCACTTTCTCTTCAACGCACACACTGTTCCTCCACTCGCAATATAAATAATGGCTTCAGTCGTTCTTCTAACTAAAATGAGGCGAATTATCCAAAAATAGAGTCTCCTCGAAGACTGCGATTCTTTCGGAATGAGATGAGGATGATATTCAAGATCACTGTGTTCGAAGTTCTTACTTAGCAAGGAACCTGCCTTTCTGACGTCAGTTTTTCCGGCGTTGTCTGCAACAAGAGAATAATTCATTCTGCGAAATTTCATTCACTTATAAAAAAAGTAACGGTTCACTCGGATTGAATTGATTTCACTGCACGTGTTCATCCGCCCCCCACACAAAGCAGTCACGGTTTTTCGATTTCAAAATGCCAATTTCTAAATTGCTGACATGCTTGAACGACTCACGCCATCATGGATTAGATCAGACGAAATCACGGTATGGGAAAGTGGGCAAGATGGGGGTATGGGGGCACATAAATTAATCAAGAAGGGCCCTTCTGACCTTCTAATTACCCTAATTGAACATGTGTCACGGAGGCAATTGATAAGAATCGCGTCTTGGGGAGGAATGAATACATAAAGTGAGCATTATAGCCGATCAATGGACAATCAGGCCAGATGTTGGTGATGCACGTGTTGGGCACATCTGCACGGGACCGTTACTCCAAACCCCATAAACCCAGGTGTTGGGTTATCCCGGATGCGCGCACGTGACCCTTGCTGGGTCAAGAACTCATTGTTTTTGCGAACAATAGAATGAGGCCATACCTGGAGGACGGGCGCCTCGCACGGCGAGAGGATGGTGTTGGGACTCGCCCGGAGGCCTAAGGGCTGTCGTGGACTAACCGCCTCCTGCGATTTCTTCTGGCCTAACGCGGCGGTGGCGTCGAAACTGCTGACGGCGGGGTGCGTCTCAAGGGCACTTTGCAAGTCGCAGATGTAGTCGATGACGTATTGGATCACTTCCAGTTTTGATAGTTTTCGGTTTTTGGGCATGAAGGGCACCAAGTCCTTTAGTTTGCTGATGTACATTTGGATTTCCTCGTTTTCTATATCCTTTTTGGGTTTGGACACTCGACCGGAGTTGATTCCGGTGAGGTTGTCCGCACACACTACACTGACAGCTTTCATTTTTGATAATACACTGAACTGAACTACGCACCACAAGGAAACGAGGAGTCGAATGAGGAGGCAAATAGGCTTGCTAGGGTTTTATAGGTTGGGGAGGGGGGACGCAGCCAATGAGATGAGGCGCCAGGCTGTGTGGGGCGTAACCGACCAATGTGAAGCCTTAATCGTTCAGGTAATGTTGCAGGCGCCTAGTTCAACACGGCGCAAACGTCCTGCCAATCGTAGAAGACGCCGTCGCATTTCCGTGAAGGTTAGTTTTTCGACTCTTGACACTGACTAATGATGATGGAATTGCACACAGGATTTTTTTATTTATTACTATTGAATGGTAAAAGCGAACGTTAATTTGTCTTCTTGTGATGAATTCAGTTTAATGTGAATGATTTATAGCTTGAAATTTGAAAATGATACAGGTAACTAACCTGGTTCGGTTCATTATTCCTACACCTCGAGTCGAAACAGTTCTTACACTTTGTAATGCAAATTACCAACCCACCTAAACTGATGCAAAACTGTTTTTTCACGCCGGAGAAGGCGCCACACTTCTCGACTCACCTAGAGGTGATACTAATTCTCCAATAAATACTTGTTTGACGAGTTTATAAATCGTATATTTTTCATTTTATGCGTTTTACGTGTTTTATTTGAGTCTCTGTTACAAATTTTCTAAATAATAGTAGATTGCATACCGAGGTGGGAGGTGCTTCATTACCAAGGCGCCAACGACTATCAAGGTTTGTATATTATATTATTTCATTTGCAACCACCCTGCTTAATGAACAGGAAGCCAATAAAGAATTTATCAAATTTTGAAAAACATGACATTGACAGTTCAGGTAGGCAAGTGGCCATTTCCCAACCTGAACCTGATATTTCACATCAATTGTTAAATGAAGCTGAAATGGCATACTTTCAAACTTTTTACATGCAAGGTAATTTGATTATTGTGAATAAAAAATATTTTATAAATATTGGCACATTAAATGAAAATTTTCATTCGCTTGAAATAGTATAAATTCATGTTTTAGTAATTTTTAACATTAATTTTTTTTACTATAACTTATACGAACAATAAAAATAATGTTGGTTAGTTCAATTAAAAAAAAAATGTAATAATTATCTAAATTTACAGTACTACTAAAGGTTTTTATTGTTTTACATTTATGTTCTGATTTGTCCCGATTTAAGGACCACCATACCTAAGTGTGCAATTTTTTGAGATTTTCATTTGCAGCGAAAACAAAGTTTCTTTCAGGTTAAAGTTTTCTTTTTGTCGTCATTTCAAATGTGGTCATTGTGAAAAAACTCAATTAAATCGCTTATAGTGACCAAATTAACTAATAATTTTGCTTGATTTTTTTATGTTTGCAGAGAATAAAAGAACTCTCAAAGCAATTCATCTAAAAAAATTGAAATTAACAGAAAACAACAAAATAATATGTTAATTATTAGGTAGATTAGGGCCCAAAACCTGTTTTATGCTTTTTATGTCAATATTTTGCATCTTATATGTATTATTATTATATTAATAATAAAATTATTATGTACAGGCTGTTCCAAAAGTCTGGAAACGATGTTATTCTGGCGAAACTATCAAATTTTTTGGCAAATAAATTTATAGGTGTTAACATAAATTGTAACATTTTTAGTAACTATTTTTATACATTTATAAAACGCATAAACATATCTTTGTAAAACAAAAAATAAATAACCGTTTTTATTTAAGAAAAGAATTATTAGTATCAATCTCAAAAGTTTAAACAATTAATTAAAATAAAAAAAAAAATTGGCATCGCTGCTTTAGAACCTTTACACATTTATTAATTTATTTCCAAAAAAACTGGTAGTTTACTCCAAAAAAATTCTTGAATTCTTCTTAACAAAAAAGTGTGAGGTTTACAAAAAAAATTTGCACAGCAACAATTCTTGTAACAAACTCGTTGTCTAAAAAAAAATTGTCGCAAGTTTCCATTAAAAAAAATTACTATGTTTATCTCGTAAGTATAAACAAATAATTAATATTCAAAAAATTTTTTTGAATAGCATTTTTATAGCTTTGCTCACCTATAAATTTATTTGCCAAAAAATTTGATAGTTTTGCCAGAATAACATCGTTTCCAGACTTTTGGAACACCTGTATAAGGCATTAACATTGTTAAATTAGTTATGTTTTTTCTCACCTTTGTGATGGTTGAAACGCGTCGTGTTTGAAATAAAAGTTTGGTGTGACGAGTTTAATAGTGTTTTAGTTTATCGTTTCCATACCAAGAAGTATTATATTTAAGTCTTTATAGAGGAACATTAGTAATACCTACTTTTTGTGTTTTAAAATAAATTTATTATAATTATTTTTATTAATGTCCTGATTTTGAGTTTTCTGAAGTTGGTCACTTTAAGGTATGTACATATTACATATTGCTTTTCTTTTTTTTTAATGTATAGTAGTGTTAATAATTTTCGGTTTCGGCCAGGAACCTACTCTTTTTTTGAATTTAGAAAATATTTACATGCTTCTAGAAACTTATTAAAAGAGAAATAAAATTTGTATGTATGTTATAGCTGCAGAAAAAGTACGACGTGCTGTTTTAGTTTTAGAAAATTAGTAAAAAAAGTATATTGTAGTATCATTTAAACCTTCATCGCCTAAAGAAAGAAAAATATTTTTATGAAGTAATAAAGGACATTCATTAAGATTCTTCATAATAAAAAATCTACGAGTAAAGCTTTTATTCCTTTAAATTTTCGTTACAGCGGGGTTCTACTGTAATAATTAATAAGTGTTAAGCTCGTTTATTATCCGGCGGTTAAAAATAACCAATAATTCTATCGTGATTTCAAAAATTATCTTGGTCAAATTTTAAAATAATTGTCGATTTACGTCAGGATTTTTGGACAATTTGGTGCATTTTAATTATATTAAAATTATATGGTGATGTGATAATAATTGTATTTCAGAAAGGAAACCGCCGACCACTTGATAATTTTTTCTCTTACGCCTCGACGAGGAAGTCTTCTTTTCATGAATTAATTGAAAAAAGATATTCAGCTTGGCAAAATCACTTATTTTACAATTCCTCCAAACAATATTTTGTAATCAGAATGCCTGCGTCAGTAATGTTGGAACACATTAATAATGAATGAAACGTATTGATGAATATTGTATTGCAGCTGGTGGTTACTGAAAGGTCAAGAAAGAGGTCGAGTCACAGGTCTTTGATAACTATGGCGCCGATTCTCAAACAGAGCGTGGATGATAACGGCGGTAATTAACCGTCTATTCATAACCCATGCCATACTGCAGAGCAAATTAGAATTTTTTTCCCCATCAAACGTTAATTAATATTCGAAATTATGTAAAATGATAAGTTTTTGTTGCCTTCTGACGTACGTTTCAGGTTGGAAATATCCTCAATTATCGCAGTGACGTTTCAAGAAATTTGAACATTTATTCTTCTGGGAATAATTAGGCACGTGTTCGGCTAATTTATGCAGAGAAAGCTACTTTGAGGAAATATTTAGTATAAGAAGCTCGGTATGAATGTTGTTATTGTTGTTGTATCTTTTATCGTGAATAAAGTTCAAAGCAATATTGTCACCCAACAAGTCGATTCCTCTATTAATTGTTCTCATTAACAAATTAATCAGCAAAAATGGGTAAACAAAAACTGAATTGTTAACTGTATTTCGGTACTGTAACAAGAAAATTAGGACCATCTTATCTCTTTCAAAGATGGATAAGCACAAACTAAGACCTCGAACTTTAAATTTTAGTGATAATGTCATGCCAAATATTGTTTGACACAATCGTGTGCAATAAATATTTAAGATAAAAAAATAAACGACTTTATTATCGTTATAATGAAGTCTTCCTTCATTTCATTAAATTATGCGATAAGAAACAAAAAGATGAAAAACGTACAAAATAGTATAAATAGTCATAGTGAGTGAGGCCACAAAATTTTTGGATTATATTTTTTCATTTATTTTTCGAAGGGTAGTAATACTTCAATTTTGATCAGTATAAAATGATAAATGATCAGTATCTAATTAATTTTTGCAAAAAAAATATAAATGCTAAGTAAAGCACGCACAGTATTTTATTGTAATTTGTTCAGTAAAAAAATCCAATTTGCACAGTAAAAATAATAAACGCTCAGTAACTTTTTGTTTGTAAATGTGTGAATATTAAATGAATTGGTTTTGCTAAACGTTCATTGTCTTTGCTGTGCATTTATTATTTTTACTGTGCATTTATATTATTTTACTGTGCATTTATTATTTTTACTGTTCATTTATTATTTTTACTGATCAAAAATACTTGTCGTTTAAATACCTAATATACTGTGCATTTAATTTGTTCCCTTTTTTCGAAATAGAATTAGTGTAACTTTTTGACTCTTTTTCATATAATGTGTTCATAAGTCATAAAAAATCGTGTCATTTTATACCATGCCATTTGGCAGTAAAATACGATAAATCATCCATTTTTATGATAATTTTGGCATGTTGTGTTTCTTATCATTAGTAGGTTTGTCTTCCTATGATAATGTCTGATAAAATCACGGTTGTGGAGTTCTAAAATGTCTCGCGTCTACGATTTACAAGCCGATCAGTTTTCTAGAGGATAATTTATTTTTCGAAGGGTAATAATACTTCAATTTTGATCAGTATAAAATGATAAATGATCAGTATCTAATTAATTTTTGCAAAAAAAAATAATAAATGCTAAGTAAAGCACGCACAGTATTTTATTGTAATTTGTTCAGTAAAAAATTTCAACTTGCACAGTAAAAATTATAACCGTTCAGTAACTTTTTGTTTGTAAATGTGTGAATATTAAATGAATTAGTTTTGCTAAACATTCATTGTCTTTACTGTGAATTTATTATTTTTACTATGCATTTATTATTTTACTGTGCATTTATTATTTTTACTGTGCATTTGTTTTTGTTTTTACTATGCATTTATTATTTTTACTGTGCTTTGATTAATTTACTGAGCATTTATTATTTTTACTGTGCATTTATTATTATTACTGTGTATTTATTATTTTTACTGATCAA